CCTGATGCTTTTGCTAAGCTTGTTCTAAGTAGGTGCTTTAGACCACTGAGCCATCTCTCCAGCCCCCCATCCAACATCTTTTTAACACTTGTTCAATGCATATTTTAATTAGTAGTGAAACACAAAATAGTAACATTAGTGCAATAACAAAACTCCCATTAACAGAAAATATATACATTTAACAATATTACATGATCTATGCAAAGGTAATGAGATTTTAGCCTAGTGTTACTCTATTTAAATAAGTACATAATAACTGCATACAATATGCCAGGTACTGTATGTAGTAGAGAAAATGTGGTAAAGAGAACAACATAAGTGCAATGATCCTAGAGAAGGAGTGATAGAATGTGAATTATCCATTCTGTCAATTCTTAAGAACTGATACCCCCAGAAAGCTAATAGTATGTCATTATTTCTGTACTGTTAGTTCCTAGCTAGTGTACCTGTCATACTAATGAATGGACATGGACAGGAAAGAGCTGCATGCAGCACAGGGCTCCTCCTCTAATACTGATGACCGGAGCACTCAATGACACATCTGTTGAAAGGACAGATCAAGTCTAGGTACATGCATTAAAAAACGTTTGCAGTTCTGTGGGTGGGAACAATGGGTACAGAGAGCTTTAGAAATTTAGCAGCACTGCAGTTTTCATCACAGGACTTATACAGGTTTTAATTACCTCTATAAGACTTTCTGGAACTAACATGAAATCCTCACTCTTTTGAAAACAAACAACCTCAAAAGTAAGGCAAAAAGATTAACTGTATTTGTAAGCAAGTGCAAGAAGATTCTGCTTCCAAGTCAGCAGTGGTGAATGTCTGAAACATATTTTTTTCCACTACCATTTAACTCTGTCACAATGGTTTTTAATCTTAATGTCAGGGGCCAGGTAGATGGCTCAGTGGAATAAGTGCTTCCCTGGAAAGTGCAAGGGCCTGAGTTCAATCCCCAGTTCGGCAAAAAAAAAAAAAAAAAAAAAAAAATCTTAATGACATATGCTACATAATCTTAAACTGCAATGAATTCATTATCTTAATCTTGATACAAATAACAAAATAAGAAAACTAACCTTCCACATCATCAAGGCTCCCATCATAAAAGGACTAAATACAGTCAGAAAGCAGTAGACAGAGGCAAGATCAAAGCTAGGGAATCATAACATAAAGAAAAGAATTTTAGAATTCATAATGTAACTTTTAGAGATAGTTCTACTAAAAGTATGTTTAATTCTCTGAAATCTACTCTTATACAAATCTTACTCTTACACAAGCATACATCACATCAAGAGAATATCATGAAGCTATTAAAATAACATGTGTGACAATACATACCAACCTCCAAAATATATCATTCAGTATAAATAACAAGGTACTTGAAATACATATATATATTGTTTTCATTTAAAATTACCTGTTAATAGAAGCTATATTTCCAGTTCCAAAAAATGCTGTCACTAAGAAGAAGACCTAAATAGAGTTAAAGAAATGCAAAAGCTGGTCCAAAGTTATACTAACTTCTTTTTCATTTAGAAAAGACAAGGCAATTCTACCATGAGGATAAGTTGCTTTTCTTGAGCATTCAACTACAAATGCACTTTGAAAGGAGCAATTAAAGAAAAATACATTGAATACTCTGAGACAAGGGAAGCCATCTTCACTTGGCTACTAGTAATTTGCGAAGGTTTACATTTCCTGAAAACAAACAGGTTGGACCACGTCTATAGTTAATTGATAATAACTCTTTAGAAAAAAGAATGATGACTTACAAGATAGTTTTAATTTTAGTTCACACAGGCTTACTGTGTACCTGTTATGTGGGTACCCCATGCTAGGTTTTGCAAAACACTCAGAAAATGAGATACCCCCTTTTGGAAAAATTTAGTAGAGAGTGAGACAAAAAATGTTGAGTATCTTTCTAACATTTCTTAGATTTATATTAGAATAGCAATTAAAAATCAATATTAATCTGATAGTGCCCAAATTCCTATTGCCAGTAAAGTACTGAAAATAGTGTGCGGTCTACTGAAAGGACTCAATAAATGTTCATCACTGTACTATATATATACATGCACGTGGTAGAAAACCCTGAAGTAGTATATGTTATGATAATTGTTGGTTAAAAAAAAGTGGCATCTGAGTTGAGAGTCTTACATATATTCATATATTGATTTACTTAATTATTTGATCAATCACATTTATTTTCTATTAGATATCAGAGACAGAGTGAAGCACTCAGAATACAAAAATAACAATCTTGAAGTATTCTAAGATCAGTAAAGAAATGATGAAAAATTAATGACATATTCATGAAACAGTAAATATATATGATAGGAGCTTAAAGTTTATTGAGGGATACAATAAAAGATGAAGCAACCAATATAGTTTGAAGGTAATATCAAGAAATACCAATCTATGATATGGAGACTAGGGAGATAAACAGTTGAAGGCAAAAGATCCAATTAAGGAACTAATTCAGTAGTTCATATCAGAGACAAGGAGGATAGGCTGGGGAGACTCAGTAGAATAAGCGCTTGCCTGGCAAGTGCAGGGTCTTGAGTTCAATCCATGGTACCACCAAAAAAAAAAAAAAAAAAAAAAAAGGAGGTCTGAACTGGTTAGTGACAGTGAACATATAGAGAACAAAGAAAGCCCATAGAACTGTAAGTGGATAAGGAAGTTTATTAGGATAAGTTTACAGGTCTGAGTAACTGAGAACATGGTAAAACCATTAAAGGAGAAGAACAGAAAAAGAGAGGAGAGGGTAAAAGAGAGGAAGGGAGGCTTTGAGAGATAGTTCGGGACATATGTGGTGGTGTCCAGGAAATGCTGGCCATATAGCTAGATTTTGAGGCTAGGAGAGAGGCCAATGCTGGAGAAGTTGTCTCAAGAGTTGTCTGCATAGAGGTTTCTGTTAATGCTGGAGGAAAGGGTGGCAGTTAGAAAAGATGGTGAAGCTTAGAGAAAAACACCAAGATTAGGCAATGGAAGAGGTTTTAGAGAACAGAGACAATATAGAAAACTTGTATAGGATTCCTAAGTTAAGGGGTAAGAAGAGGAAAATCAATAGAATTACATGTTACAGTGTGGTCAAGTATTGATTAGATGTGCACAGGACACCACTGCAGACTATTCAATAGTTTCTGACAAACATTGACACAGCACAACTATGTGCCAGGCACTGTTCTAGGTTTGTGAATATAGCTTATAAATAAGGATGAAATAATGGCAACAAGTAAAGAATTATCTTTCAAGAGTTGTGGTAGCAAATATAAAGGACAAAATGTAATTATTGAGGGGAAATGCAGAGTTTGGAGCCAAAAGGCTTTTTGTTTTGTAATACTGTATGAGTGAGATCTTGTGAAAAGAAAAAGTAAAATTGAGAGGCAAAAAGGAGATAATAAGAATACTTACTTTCCTAGGCCTAAAAGACTCAAACCCTGTGCACTGTAAGTTCAAAGGAAATGCTTCTGAATTTATAAGCGATTAATATCCAAAAACTATAAAGAACTCCTACAGGTTGAAAAAAAAATCTAAGTGCTTCAATTTAAAAACTGTCAAAGGAGATGAACAGTCTTTTCTCAAAAGAAGACAAAAAATGCTCAACAGGTATATTTAAAATTCTCATCACTGATAATCAGAGAAGTGAAAATTAAAATCACAATGACGTATTACCTCACAACTGCTGGAATGGTTATACTAAAAAGATGAAAGATAAAACTAACAGGGATATGGGGAAAACAGAATATAAATTGGTAGAGCCATAGCCTTGGGATGATGGCATATGCCTATAATCCCAGCTACTTGTAAGGCTGAGATAGGATGATCACAAATTCAAGGCCAGCCTGAGCAATGCAGGAAGAGCTTGTACTGAAATTACAGAAGGTAAAAAAAAAGGGGGGCTGGGGAGTTCCAGATGCAGCTTAGTGGTAGAGCACTTGCCTAACATAAATGAGGTCCTGGGTTCAATCCCTAATGTCTGTCTCTCTCAAACTGCCACGGTCATTTTGGAAAGCTAATTTAAAATCAGAACTACCACATGATGAAGCAAACCCACTTTTGGCTGTATAGTCAAAGGAAATGAAACCAGTATCTTGAAGAAATCAGTATCTTGATAGCTGCACTTTAACACTCACTAGAGCATTACTCACAACAGTCAAAACATACAAAGAATCTAAATGTTCAATGACAGATGAATGGACAAAGAAAACACCTACATTTATGATAGAATTCTATTTTGCTTAAGTAATGTGAAAACATGCATTACACGCAGGATGTGGCTCTAAGTGCAATAAATCAGATGCAAGAAAGAAATACTGTTATGATCTTACTAATATGTAGAAACTACAATAATAAATTTTAGAGAATAGAATCATGGTTGGCAGGGGCTGAGAGAAGGGGAAAACAGGAAAATGGTATCAAAAGGTACAAAGTTTCAGTTATCTAAGGTCTGGAGATCTAACGTACAGCAAGGTGGCTATAGTTTTTTTTTTTTTTTTTTCTGGCTCAGCTTGCCTTAAGGGCAGGTCTGGTAGGTAAGGCAGGTGGAGTGGGGATTTAAACCACAGTGTCCTGTGCCTGACTGCATTTGCATTACTGTTTGAGCATAGGTTTAAATGACTCAGCTAACCAGCAGGCCCCCAAGGTGGCTATAGTTACTAATAATATATTGTCTACTTGAAATTTGCCAAGAGTTGCTCTTAAATATTTTTGAAAGAGAAAAGAAGAAAAGAACAAAACTTATGTGAGGCAAGGGATATATTAGTTTATGGTGATCATTTTGCAGGGTTTAACTATGAGTTCAAGTCCTGTCTTTTAAATATGTAATTTTTGTCAATTATTCCTCAATAAAGCTTGACAAGTTAAATTCTAAAAGCAATACCTTATTATGAATCTCTTAAAACTAGCCAGAAGATTTCAGCTTTAGTTCTAATGGCTGAATTTTTAAAAAATATATGCATATGTGATAACATCTTACTCATTGATATCTTGAATGGTAATGTGCCCACACACTTATTAATCTTTTTTTTTTTTTTTGTTTTTTTTGTATTTTAGGGAAGGGTCTACAGGGTGTTCAGGGTCTCACTGATAGATGGGACTTGTAGTGATCCTCCTGTTTACAGCCTCCCAAGAGCTGGGATAACAGGCTCATGCTACCATGCCCAGTCTTAAATCATTCTTTACGTAGTAAAGTATATAGTTAAAAAAACTTAAAAATTGCGTGGGAATATACTCTGTCCCTTGAGTATCTAGGCGTAGAATAGCCAACTAATGTAGTAGGTATATGTCGAAATCTTTCAGAAACTATAAAATATTTTCCAATGTGTTTATAGTATTTTGTATTTCCACCAGCAGCCTATGAAATTTTCAGGTTCACCATATCCTCAAAATACATGGTATAGTCAATCAATTTAATTACCACCATTCTCAGAGGTATGTAACAGTATGTTACTGTGATTTTCAATTTGAATTCACCTAATGACATCATTTTAAGTGTATTTCCAATAAATTATTTCGATTTATTTATATGTACAGGTAAAATAGACACTGAAATGTTGAGTTTTTATTATTGAGTTCAGTGATTCTTTTTTTTTGGTTTAGTAAATGTTTCATTGCACAATGATTACATTCACCTTGTGGAATTACTATATGTACCTAATACATCTTAATTTGCTTTATATTCTCACCCTTTCCTCTATCTTTCCATCTATCTCTTTTGTACTGTACATATAAGTACTCTAACAGATATTTATGAATTTTTAAACCAATGTCTATTTTATTGCTCTCTGTTGAGAGATATTGATGCCTATAACAATTCCATTTTTCTATATGTCTTATCAGCTGTGTTTGTTTTTGCTGCATATAGTTTGTGATTCATTACATATACAAGATGACTTATTTTAGCTGATTAGAGGTACAGCTCAATGCTAAAGCAGTACTTGCATAGCATGTGTGAGACCCCATGGAGAAAGAGGAAAATGGAAAGGGAGAAGGAGAGAGCGAGGGAAATAGAGGTGGATAGGGTGGACCAATTTATCAATTGGTCCTTTATGAATTATGATTTAATCATTAAATTTTAAAAATCTAGGGCCAGGGAGATGGCTCAGTGGAATAAGCGCTTCCCTGGCAAGCTCAAGGGCCTGAGTTCAATCCCCGCTTCCGAAAAAAAAAAAAAAAAAAATCTTTGACAAATCTAAGTTCACAATGTGCTCTTCATGAAGGTTTACAATTTTAAGTTTTTACATTAGGATATAACAATCTAGTCTGAACTTACTTTCATATAGGGTGAAAGATATAGGTGAAAGTTCTTTTTAATTTTTGGATGTAACTATTCAATTTTTCACAGACTAGTTTATGAAAAACCTAATCTGTCTTCAATGAACTGCATTATTCTTTGTGAAAGATAATCAGTCAAATGTTAACATATGTGTTAATTCATTGATCCTAATTCAATTCCATTAACCTTGAAAACATGGGAATAGAAATGATCCAACATAGAAAACAAAGACAAATAAAATTAAACATTAAAAAACCTTTAAATGTGAATTTACATAAAAAACTATAGTTAAAAGAAGAATTAAATGGCCTCTAATGTAATATCACTAATAAGTAACAAGCAGAAACACTTTCCATATCTTCTACCTTTAATAAATGTGATTTTGCAGTTAAAACAAAAGTCCCAACAAAGGATACAAGGAAAAAAGCCCTACGGATGTCATCCAGATATAGCTGTCGAAACTGAGATATGTCAGTATTGTAGGAGAACTGGACACTGGTGAGCTGTAAGGGAGAAGAAACACTATTAGTTCACAGTATCAGTTGGCTTACATCTCTACTCAAAGTTAAACTTATAAAGGCTGTTAACATGGCTGTTAACATGTGCTACCAGGCCACAAAAATCATCAATAAATGTTTTTATATCTTAACTATGCTTTATTAAAATCTTTCAAAAGGAAAATATGTGTTGAATAACATACTACACAGAGCTGTAGTGTTAGAACATGTGTAATAAAAATGAGAACTGAGTCTTTTCCTGTCATAAATACTTTATTTTTAAATTCCTGTATAATTCCCTTCACAAAACAAAACAAAACAAAACAAACTTGATTTCCCAGGAAGCATCCTGAGTTTCTTAAATGCAGGTATGGTATAATATTAAAAGATACGGTAAAACTTTCTCTATTCTGTTACTTCTATTTGCAGACAAACTTCATTTTTCACTAGCAAAGCAAAATACTTCTTTCTTTGGTAAAATAGCTGTCAATTACAACCAGAGAGATGTACTCTTGCTTAAATCCTCATAACGACAAGAAAGAATGTTAAAGGGTGAATTTAAAGGAAGACCCCACCACCACCACGACCATCCATCTCCCTGTACAATTTTCCAGTTAAGCTGTTAAGGTGCTTTAATAATCTTTCCTAGAAGAAAAACAGATTTGATTTCAGCTTAAAAAATAATCTTAAATAGGGCACAATGACTGAGGTCTCATGAAATATATAATATTAGGGATAGTTTATGAACATTTACATTAATCTGATCAAAAAATTTGTCTTTGTGTACTGTTTTAGTATTGCAGGACTGAAAGTTAAAAACCAGTAGCTATTCACTATACTTCAGTAAGGTCCTTTTATTATAATTATTCTGAATTATCAGTTCCTTTCAGTAATCCTAACTGGAGGCAGTTAAGAATGAATCAACTATGAAAGTGATTTTCTGCAATATGTATACATTAACCTGGCCTCAACAGAGTTGTAAATACTTATACCAAATTCTCTATACCTTTAATTCTAAAGAACACAAGATATATCAGTTTAACTCAGCATGATAATAAAGCTGTCTTTAAAATTTTGCTGGCGGGAGAGGGAGGAGAATGGAAGGAGACATAACAATAATGAAGGTGTGCTATATACATGTATCAACTCCCCGTGATGAATGTAATCATTATGTATACAAACATATACTAATAAAAATAAAAATTAACAGAAACTTTGGTGGGTTGTTAGCTAATCATAAGTATTCTGTGTTGCATAAACACTCCATAATCACTAAGATGACAGAGTAAAAGGTATGAGCTAAAAATAGGATGTTTAGGGTCAGCCAGATAGCTGAGCAGACTAAAGCATCTGGTTAGGCAGAACCCACTGGCTGGGGTTCGATCCCCAGGATGCTGTGCCAGCCCTGCCTCTGGGACGCACTGAGACAGTGACTGAGATGGGAGTGGTGGCACATGCCTGTAATCCTATGATTTGGGAAGCTAAAAACAAGAGAATTACTACGAGTCTGATCTATGTAGTGAGACCCTGTAGACCCTATACCAAATATATAAAAATAAACATAAATAAATAAAAATAAATGAATGAAAAAGAAAACCCTCTTATTACAGTAAAAGACATCATCATCAATTCTCTTCAAAATACTGTATCTTGCTTTGAACACTTATTCCACTGTTCTTGTCCCTTTCTGCAGCAGTTTTAGAAGTCCTCTTTCATGAGTGTTTTAAGTTATGCTATTGCTACCTCAAATCAAAACGTTTGCTCTTCTTGGTCATTTTAACTTTGTAGAAGACCCAGAGGTCTCATGGTGCCAGACTGGAAGAATAAAGTAGATGAGTACATACCACAATGTTTTCACCTTTTCTTTGGATGGCATTTTTGGCAGCAGTATTCACTATAATTTTTTAAAATCACAATCTGTAAAGACTCTCACAAAAGACGACTTCCAGAACTACTTCAGAAAATGGTAAGCACAATGGGCTGTGTTCGAAGTGAGGGGGAATACTTTAAGGGGATTAATGACAGTGTATCTTTTATTGTAATAAATCTTAAAAATGTAAATATTCATGGTATATTTTATTTACAGCTTATAAAAACATTTTGGGTTAGGGTAATCAGAAAAACCACCGTGGGAATTTACATGTCACTCTTATGTTCCTTTGACAACAATATTTCTCTGACTAAAACTGACAGAAAAAAAAACTGGCTATGATGACAGAGGAAAGTAAGATTAAGGACACTCTTTCCTCTTCCATTCATTCACTTATATTGATGCTTTTTTATGTCAGTGATTCTTAAGTAATTACTAAGAAAAACCCAACTATATATTGCCTATAAAACTGTAAGATCATACTTTAACACTGGTTGACTTTTACTAATGTCAAATAAAATTTATTAAATGCTAAATTAAATTTTCTTTAAATGTTAAAAACATTTAAGTTGATTTTTTGATGAAGTAACATTTCAACTTCTTTACAGTTCAGAAAATATTTTAGTATTTTCAACCACAATGATTTTGACAAGCTACCTTCTGTTTAGAGAAAATACCAGATCGTTGTAGTGTTTCTTGTTCCATGTATATCCAAATAAACATCAAACATGACAAAACTAATGGAAAGAGAGCTTCATACCTAAGAAGTGGGAAGTGGGGAAAGGGAGAACAGAAATGAAAAGAAAAACAAACATTAATAACAATACAAATTTACAATGAGAGGGGCCAATAAACACATGAAAATATATTTGATCTTATCAATAACTGATACAGAAATCAAAACATTAATAATACATATTTGTCATATTTATCAATATTAAAAATGTTGATGCTACAATACTGTACTTATCATACTATTTTTCTTTTTTTTGTATTTTTTTAGAGAACAGTCTACAGGGTCTTCAGTGTCTCACTGCTAGATCGGACTCATAGTGATCCACCTGTTTACAGCCTCCCAAGAGTTGGGATTGGGAGGGTACGCCACCACACCCAGTCTCAATTGCCATCTCAGCGTGCCCCAGGGGCATGGCCAGCACAGCAGGCCCGGGGATCGAACCCCCAGTGCCTGCACCTGCTTGCAATTATCATACTGTTTTAATCACATTAGATTATAAAATCTTTGAAAATTGTCTAGTTACCATAACAGGTCCAGTGCAAAAAAATTGGGGGCCAATGTAGGGAGGGCAGAGCTCAGGGCGTCTCAGTATGTAGCCTAGGCTGACCTTGAAGTTGTTAAATTTCCAAGCAGAACTCAAATTTGTGATCCATCTGTCTCAGCCTCCTGAATGCTGAGAGTATAGATGTGAGCTACTATTCCTAAGTAGTATTTCCAATTGTTACTAACATAAAGTTACATTTAAAAAAAGAAAAAATTAAACTTCATTTCTCTTTTGACTTTCTCAACTACTGATCTCTAAGTCATCTGACACTATTTTCTAAACATGAGAAAACAACAAGACCCTGGGTTTAACTCCAACACTGGGAAAAAAACCTCACAAAAATATACAACAATTATAAAACTAAGACACCAGAGACTGGGCAGGAATATCAGTCTGGGAACACATATACCAATTAGTTACTGAGATTCAGAATGCTCAAGAATATAAACAGATAAAACATACAGGAGAAGATATCTTTACTAAACAAGAGAAAAATATAAATACAGAAACTACGACAGCAGTATCATTTTTAGTCTATTAAAAGAGTCTGATATTGTTTGAAAGTGAAAATATCAATACTGTTCAATATTAATATCAAATATCAATATTGTTCAGGATATGACAAAATAGTACCCAGGAATGTGCTTTCCTGGCAATATTATATAAAGTGATATAGTTGTTAAAAAAGTTCTTACCCCATAGCCCACCTAAATTATTCTGAGAATTAAACAAAACACTTAAACTACATAAAAAGTTTATGCTTAAAAATATATTTCAAACTATTATTTATGATAACAAAAGACAGAAATGAAATGATTAGAGAGAAAGGAATGGCTAAGTAAATCAACGTACAATCACAAAAGGAAATAATATCTATTAAAATAGTGGCTAGGAAGTCTATGATCTACTTCCAAAAGTGCTTCAAAAATAAGTTTAAGTGGAAAAAAAATACAAAATAGTACAAGTACTATTAATTCTATGTTAAACAGATATATACTCAGAGCAGAAGGAAATATATTAGAACATCAGCAGGTAAAGATAAAAAGTTTTGTTCCTTATCCTTATTTTCCAAAAAGAATTGAAAAACAATTTTGCTGGTCTTTCTTTAAAATTTAGTTCAGGGCCAGGAAGATGTCAAGGGCAAGGACCCGAATTTGATCCCCAGCACCAGCTGCCGTATCAGCCCCAGAACCCTGGGTGCACAGTGCCAGACACAGAAACCAGGCACGGTGGTCCACACCTATAATCCCAGTGCTGGGGAGGCTGAGACAAGAGGATCACTACTGAGTCTGAGCTGTATAGCAAACCCTGTACTAAATTAATTAAGTAATTAAATTCAGTTCAACTTCCACGAGAACATGACAGCATCAAGCTACTCAAACTCTACTCACTCTTTATATCACATAATTGATAACTCTACCCACAATATATAATTGTTCCATTTTAGTTATCTACCATGGCAAAACAAAGTCCTCACTTTATAGCAATTTGTAACTCTACTGTATGCCTGCATTATCATATTATTAGTAAATTTCTTTATGTGTCATGTGCTTAAGGATGCTAGATATGGAAAAGGAAAAGCAACTATAGATTAAAACAGAAGGTGCATTCTCTAAGCAAAAGAAGACCATGATTTCTAAGATATTTACAGTTATATATGAAGGTATTTTTTGCCTAAGTTATAAAAACACAAATTCTAGAGCCCGGCGCGGAAATCGCTGCGCTAGGTTGCCGCCTTAAAAACACAAATTCTATAATTCCACACATAGTGTTACAGATTTATCTCCTTTCAAAGAACTATATACTTAATCAGTTTCTTTTGTAAAATATATATTTAAACCAGATAGAGACAATATTCCCGTGGGACTAGAGACTATTTCATACAATGTCTACAAATCTGACTTAATAAATCAAAATATCAATAAAATAGCATGGGCTTGAAGGCACTAAATGAGACCCTATTAAACAAGATCTGTTGGTTCCTGTGTAAATTGAACAGGGCTCAAAAAGCATTTAAAAAGGCATCCCTTTGCTGTGGGATAAAAAACAAAATTTCAAAGGGCAATGTTTAACTTAAGAGAATAAACCATTTGTAAGTATTAGAATAGCCTTCACTTGCATAAAACAAGTGCCAATTAAAAAGGAATCTTGTTTCATTAAATCAGGATGCATTGTTAGAATTTAGAATTACTATTACTATGTTTCTATGACAAAGCTGTACTTCTTTAAATATCCTGTATTTCTGAATATTCACTAATTTATATAGACAAACCTTTAGATTATCCAAAAGTGATGCTAAACTATAACAGGTGGATTATGTCTTGTAAAACTGATCTGACAATGAAAAAAAAATGTACTAACTTAAATGATTAGATTGTGCTGTTTTAATACATCCTTTTGATTTTTTATAAAGATAGGTTCAGGGCTGGGAAGATAGCTCAGTAGAATAAGTGCCTGCCAAAAGAGCACAAGGTCCTGAGTTCAATCCTTAGTACGGCAAAAAAAAAAAAAAAAAAAAAAATCATAAACAGATTCGGATGTTGACTAATTTATCTGTACATTCACTAAGAAGTTCATATTCAGTATTAATATTCCAATTTTAGGCATAAACTTTCTTTTTCGTATTTTCTCAAAATAAATTGAACATATTTATGAAAATCAACTTCAGCAACTTTTCTGACCATTAAACTGATGATGTAAAACATTATGATTTTCCAAGTTCAGTTATATAGTTTAAATATTTAAATATTTCACTATTATTTATGAGTGAAATAATATGGTTTGCTGGATTAGAAATGAACAAGAGAAGAAAAAAAGAATGATAGTCATGGTTTAAATATGAGTGAAATAAATATATATTATTAAATAATATTAGTTTAATAATATTATTAATAGTTTATTATTAAACTAATAATTCACTAATATTTAAATCATAATTATCATTCTTTTTTTCTTCCTTTGTTCATTTCTAATCCAGCAAACCGTATCTATATTCAGGTTTGCTTATATTTTTTAATGTACTTTTCAGTCCTTCGAATATTTTTTTGTAGCTGGCTTGGCCCATGGGATAGGGTGGGTGCGACATGTGGTGCCAGGGATTGAACCCTGGTCCCTAAGTGCTTGCCTAAACTTGCCTAAGCAGTTGCTTGAGACTGCTGAGCTATCTTGCTGGCCCTGAATATGTCTATTGCTTTATAATTTAGAGGTTAGGCAGACGCAGGAGCCAGAAGTTTGATTCCTGGCCCACAGTGCCGGCCCAACCCTGGGGGAATGCTGAGACTGAGACTGAGACTGAGACTGGGCATGGTGGCGCCTGCCTGTAATCCCAGCGTTTAGGAGGCTGAAAAACAGAAGAATCACTATGAGTCCGATCTGTGTAGTGAGACCTTGGAGACATCTTACTACACATTAAAAAAAAAAAGCAACAAAACTGAAAATCTCTTTAATTTTTTAAGATTTGAAACTCTCTTACAATCTATCAGAATTAGGAGTTAAATGAATTTTAGCATTTAGTAAATAAGCAGAAAGATGAAGACAATTGGAAAATAGTATTAAAATAATAAAAAGAGGGGCTGGGGAGATGGCTCTGTAGAATAAGCACTTCCCTGGCAAGTGCAAGGGCCGGAATTCAATCCCCGGTTCCGAAATTATTATTAATAATAATAACAAGGAAACAAAAGAGTAAGTTGCATACAAAGTACAACTACTTTTACTTTATCCCTCAAGATTCATTTCCATAGTAATAGAGAAAATGTCAATACATTATTTAAGATTGTTACTACAAAATAAAACTTGTTAAAAAGTGTATACCCTGTGCTTAGAAGTAAATAAGTTGACATCAAGGATAGAAGTATGCTAAACAATCGCTGGAAGAGAACTGGAGAACTCAGCAGTGGCACAATCAAGGAAGAAGCTGAAATAAAGCAAGGGTACAAACAATGTGAGTTTAGAGGCTCTAGATAATCAATTGTCATTTATGGCATTTAATATTTGTGTTACCTTTACATAAGTCTATATTTGCCCTTGTAAATTTTGTAAGAAATCAGAAACTTTGCATGTTTAATTAGAATTTTATTTTATTGTTTGAACTATATTGGGTTAAATAACTCAAATTTTCTCAGTATATATTCAGACTAGATCACTGCAGCAATATTAACTCCTAAATTAATTTCTTATTTTGCAATGAAAAATACATATTACTCAAAATTTAGCAAATTATCTTTTAATTAGGTATTTATATCTTGTCCAGAGACAATCTACTCCCTAGAAAGCGATTTTCCCCAATTCCCTACTCTCCACGGTTTCCCACTATAACGTACACATTGATAGTTGTAGTGAGCTACCTGGAAAATTGGGATGACTTTACGAGGCATGACAGCTGTAATATGAAAAGCATACAACCTCAATAGAGGCAAGGCAGGGCAGATGAAAGGGGGTAGATCACCACTACATAAATTTTTTCTTTGTTTCTTTTGGAAAGTGTTATGGCTTATACCTAAAATGTCTCCCAAAACCTTACATGGTCATAGGTGGGGCTTTATTGGAGGCAGCTGGATGTAGCATGTGCAAGGCTGGGATCAAGGACGGGACACTGGTGTCACAGTAGAATGCTAGGATTAAGGCTGCTCCATCTTGGGTGTCAGTGCTACCTGCCGTAAAGGTGGTTATCCAGGATAGTATACAAAGATAGAAACGTGTCTGCCATTGTTGCTTGTCACTTGCTACCTTTTCTGTTTTCTACCAGGAATGAACTGTTTCTCCTTTGCAATGGCCTTCTACCATGCTACTGTCTTGAAGTCAGCTGACTATTGATGGGAACTGCTATATATAAACTGTGAGCCAAAATTGAATTGAAATGTACTTAATTTCTTAATCTTCCTAGTGCCTTGTATGGAGATTTGGGGCAGAATCCTGCTTAAGTATTCAACTGCTTAATTGTAGAGTAAATTTGTTGACCTAAGGAGCAACTTACTCATCTGTCAAACAAGGATAGCATACAGAAGTTGTATGATTTAAATACAATTTTACCTATAAAATGCTGAGGACAGTACCTGACACATACTCCTTATAGCAACTGTTAGCTGCTATTGTTACTACTAATCAATATGTCCTAAATTAAACATAACAATTTCATTGAAAGTCAAGTTTCTGCAAGATTTAAGGCTGCCAGGCTGTATTTCTGTCAGTTCAAATGAGATCTATTCTGCAAAACTGAATATTTTGTCCTTGTTTCATCTCTGTCTAAAGGTTTAATAAGGTGCAAATGAAGGATTAAGAGTTTCCATCCTAAGCAACATAAAATATTACCAGTTTTGTAAAAGTTACCCATTTGCGTATCACATAGCATGTTAGGAAAAAAAAAATGCTCATATAGCTTGCCCATGGTGTATCAGTACTTAGTCAAGATCTTTGGATAGAGGACATATCAGATATTAAACTGATAAGAACAGATACTACACTTGATCTTAGCCAAAAGGCCAAGAAGCGATGTCAAGATCTTTGGAGATACTGAAAATCTATCTACAAGCTAACTATTTAATGCCTCACATCATTTCATAGGTACCCTCTGCCTAGTCCACAGAAGACATTTCATACTTAAAATATATAACCAAAAGAGACATTAATGTATTTAGAGAAAAATAATAGTCTCAATTTCCTTGTCTTCCCTCCAAAACAACAATAAATATACAGGACACTTCAAATACAGAAAAAAAACACAGGAAATATTACATAATATATACATATGTTCTATTACAACAGCAGATAACATGACAGAACAGAGATAAAGCTTAAAAGATAAAGGTACTTTAAAAATTGCAGGCTGATGGCTGGGGAGATGGCTCAGTAGAACAAGCATTTCCCTGGCAAGTGAAAGGGTCTGAGTTCAATCCCTGGTTCTGTCAAAAAAAAAAAAAAGTTATTGGGGTCAGGGAGATGGCTCAGTAGAATAAGCGCTTCCCTGGCAAGCGCAAGGGCCTGAGTTCAATCCCCGGTTCTGCCAAAAAAGAAAAAACAAAAAGAAAAAGAAAAAAAACATTGCAGGCTGAGGTTACAAAGAATTGCATCCCTACAATATCTTTATCCTAAGATTTTTATTCCTTTGATATACTTATGTACCCATTTTTTAGGGTTATCACTGGAATACTACAAGGACCATAGTTACCATAGTCCTTCATTCCATATGTAAATATACATATAAATATGGATTGAAGGAAGGCAAAATAGAAACTTTGTGACTAACTAGAATTAGAGGTATCAGTGTAAAGTTATAATTTCTAAAATACTTAAAGGTGTGTATGGAACACGTTTATGTGCACATGCCATATATATTAAATATACATACATATTAAAAGATGTTTTAGGCTGAAACAGAGTGGATAATGAGGTAAGCCTAAGACATCTTTCTAATACCAGAAAAGAGGAAAATGTCAAAGAATTTTGAGGGGAGGAGATTCTATTATAAGACAGAGTAAAGGAATCCTTCTTCCAAGTTTACCCATAGTAGTGAATTAAAAACCTTTCAAAAAATGGGAATTCATGAGTCCACATCAATATTAAATAGAAATGTGTACAAATGAATAGAGGACATAAAGAATTTTTGTTTACACTTAGGTGTTCAGAGCCTTCTTATATACGCAGTGGGAATGTCCAAATTGGAAAATCATCATTTCATGCCCACTAATTAGATAAGGAAAAGGTTGGATAAGATAGATGGATACTAAATTTTAAGAGCATTTTGATAAAAACGACACTTATCAACTTAAGTGTATCTCCCCCAGAGTTACTTAGAGGGAAGAAGACCAGCAAGTCTACAATGGACAACATCTTGGTAGGGCAATCAAAATTAGTATCACTAATAAGGGACAGATCATTTGCCTCTATATCTAACTGTAAGGACATAACATCATTATATCATTATATTGTTACATACATAGAATATTTTGGCCAATAAAAAATAACCTTAGTTTTTTGGTGTTTTTTTTTTTTTTAAGACAGGTTCTTTCAGGCAGCCCTTGAATTTGTAATCCTTCTCCCAAATACTTGGGTATATAAGCATGTGCCACTAAACCTGGCTATAGCCTAAATTTAATGATAAGAAAACATCAGAAAACAAAAATTAGGTAAAAATCTACTGGCAGAGGTGCTATACAATTTTAAAATGTTAAAAGTCAAAGAAAGGAAAATACCATAAAGGCCATTGCTAGGTCACTTGAAATAATTAAAACACGGATGACTGAATAGAAAAAAAAGTAACCAAGTATTTCAAACCTTTTATGCATACACATACATATGTACAGAGCTAAAGGATAAGCACAAGCAGTGAAGGATGGCTTTCTATAGTTTTCGTCCTACTTCTTGATCTTGAAATTTAAAAATGAGATACATCGTTTTTTTCTTGCTTTTTCATCTTCTTTCATTCTTAATTATTCTTAAAACAATTAAGATTTTTTTTTTTTAAAAAAATGAGATACAATAATATTGCAACTTTCTGGTTGGCAAATAACCAAAGGAACTGACTAATAAAATTAGATAGAATATGTGCCCAAAGTTTGCTTTTCCTTTTTTAAAATAGTCTTCTTTGTTGTGATTTATTCACAGGTCACTAAGAAGACTAAGAAATTGAGCATGGCTACACTGCAAAGACATAAGGTTATGAGGTTGGCAAATGCACACAACCTGCATGATGTATTTCATCTGCTAATTATGCATGACCAGAAGTTTCTGAAGTTACATGGTACAGAAAGAGTTCCCTTTAATATTGTATCTCATGGCCATAATATTTTAGTTTTCTGTGCACTTCAAAACATGTCATATGAAATACCAGTACATCTACTTACTACACTAAAATATTACCTCCTCTACCCTTGCAGAATATAAGCTCTACGATGACCAAAATTTGGTCATTCTATTTGCTGAAGTTCTATTTAACTTCAGCAAACAGAACTTTCCAGAACATACTATAATCTAAACATAATTTTTGAATATGAAGTAGTCACTGCTGTAATCTATATAGAATTAATATAAATAGTAATTTTGATAATTAAGATAATTCAAAAGAACAGGAGGTTCATAGAATGCCCTTCATGAAATGGAACATGTACTGAAAGTGAAAAAATATACACATATATTATTACATGTATGTGTATAAAAAGGTAAGTTGTTATTGCCCAATAATAATTTCTGCTTAAACGATAAATGATTAAGAAGTGTGGAAAATGGAAAACCAAAAATTTAGGAGATATATGTCTGCTATCTGTTGTATTTTTAAGTCAGCTTGGGTTTTAAAATCAATCTTAGGGAGAATGTTCCTGTTTCTTAATACTTTTTCAAAGTGAAATTCCATTCAAAGATCTTTTCCATTGTAATAACGAAAAAATCATTAAAAATGCTAAGCCACATCATTCACAGACATAACAAAGATTTTTCACATGAAAAATCTTGACTTCATAGCTTGCTCCTGTCTTCCAGTTGGAACAGAAAGCGTAGGTCCTTAAATTACATGTTTGTATCACAAATACATTCCAATGTTCTTAAATAAGGGTATTTCATAGAGGAATACACTTTGAAATACTTAACAATCTCTATAAAATGTGTACTGTGCTGGTGAATAACCAATGTTACTTTCAAAAAGAGAAATAAAATTTAACCATTGTCTTCTTCCTGTGTACAAATTGAAAACATATGAACTCACATGAAAATTAACCATATGATCGTCATGAAATCCTCTTTTCCAGAGTCACTCTGAATTTTTCTCAGATGCTAATAAAAACACAACCTTATTATCAGATAATAAATATTCTTTTTTTTTTTTTTTGGCAGAACTGGGGATTGAACTCAGGCCCTTGCTCTTGCCAGGCAAGTGCTTAGTCTACTGAGCCATCTTCTTGGCCCTCAATAATAAATATTCTGTCAATTAATTCTAATTTACACATTTATGCTCACAAGAGATCTACTTTTTGTCAAATTCTAGCAAGATGGAAATAATAGCTATTATTTTTCTGCGACAAAATTATTTATTTTAATAACAATAATGCAGACATATAGGGGTCATTTTAAGATAACTGATATGATATAAATGGTTTCATTTGGTTTGGATAGATGCTTACCTAATGTTGCCCAGCTCACTATTTGGTTCACAAGAGGTAATCCCTTTTTCTTGAGTAGACTACTGTTGGTACTGTACACAACATACATGGAAAGCACTATATTTATCATCTGAAAATACAAAGAAAATAGGTCAATAAAAAGGTAACAAAAGACTGTATATTTGAAAACTACTTAGGAAAATGCTGGGAACAACTAATACATGGCTAAAGTGCTACTGCAATTGGACAAGATCACCCTCTTCTGGCCAGAATTTCTGTATGAAGCAAAGGACAGGAGGCATTCTGAGAGCATACATTATCACACTGTTCTTATTTATAGTATTTGTTGCAAAAGTTAAAAGTTTTTTAAATTATGGAAGCAAAGAGGGAAAAATGTATATAGTTTAGTATATATGCTATTGTGCTTTTACCCCAAGCTCTCCCTACAGTTATACTGATTTTTCATTCAAAGCATTTTTGTGGTCTAAATATTTGCCTGGCACTGAGAACACACAGTATAAATCATCACAGAATATTTATAAATTAGTGTAGAAGCTGCTAAACTATAATGTGTAGGGTGGTGGTCTATTTCTTTTATAAACACTTTGATTAAATGTAATTGTATTGATCTATGTATTGTTTCTCTTTACACTAAACAGAGTTGAAAAACCTTAACATACTCCATATGATCCATCAACCTAAAATTATTACTGTTTAGTTTTTTAGAAAAACATCTAGCTAATCCAAGCTAGGAGATCAATTGCCATCTTTATTATTATTCATTTATTGTTTATTTTTTGGTACCTGGAATAAAACTCACAAGCTTGCCAGGCAGAACTGTGCTGCTGAGCTACATCCCTGGCTCAATTGCCATTTTTAAATAGTGAACTAACAGCTGTGCATGATGGTGCATTCTTGTAATCCTAGGACTCTGGGAGGCTGAGACAGGAAGATCATAAATTTAAAACCAGTCTAACAATTCAGTCAGGCTCTACCTCAAGCTACAAATAAGAAGGCCTGGGGACATAGCTCAGTGGTAGAATACCCCTCCCTGGGTTTAATCCCCAGTGACACATTCCTGTGATAAATTATGA